ACCTTTTATCGGGATGTTTTTTGTACTTAAAACTGCCATAACTTTTTCAAAAATGAACAAATAAAAATAATATTTTTTTGTATTGAAACCTTAGATATTTCCCTTTCATTTGATATAATTTTTTTTGAAAATCTAACACTTATTCTGCTCACTGAGGGAATTTAAAATAGTAATTTTTTTACAAAAAATAACTTTTTCAACTTGATTTTTGATAATGTTCCGGAAATACTGCGTCCTTTAAACATATATAAAATTAAAGCTTATTTTATGTAGTACAAAATGAAAAAAAAAAATTTGTCCTGACGACCTATCTTCTATACGCAAATGGCTACCATATTCAAAAATATGCTATTTTTGTATGAAAATTATGGGTTTTGTATTTTATTTTAATAGAAGTTGATGTTGCTTTTGCAATTATCCAACAATTTTTTAAAATTAAACACTATCTACAGATTTGCATCGAAGCGTTTCTTATGATAGTGATTTTAATCACTGTCAGATTAAATCTAGACTGAACCCAACTATGCAATGTCTCCACTATGCCGCGACCCCACTGTGCTACCGTTTTTTGAGATAGAATATGTTCAATATATTTATATATATTTACAAAAATGCTTTTAATTACTATGGTAATATATAAGTTGTAGAGAGATACTTATTTGAATAAATGTGATAAGTAAAAAAAAGGTTTTTTAATAATAATTTTTAAACCATATTAAACTTTTTTTATATCGGGCCACAAGTAAAACGAGTATTGGATTTGAAAACCTATTACTTTATTTAAAGACAAAGAAAATTGATATCGAATTGCTATTTATTTTAGTCCATGTGAAAGTTTAAACTTTTATAAAGACTAATTAATAATTATACATTGTAGTTTATTTAATATATTACCTCCATTTTGTCATTAAATATTGATTTTTTCATAAAAATGTAAATGTCAAGTTTATTACAAGAAAACATATTATCATTATTCTACTATTAAAATGAATTATGGTTTAAATAAAATTATGAAAAATCTATTACCGGTGTTGTATTATTACTTTTTGAATATTTATAATTTTTAGTTATAGGCAAGTAGCATAGGAAAATTCTCATCTTATTGTTATGGTAACAATATAGAATCACAAAATACTATCCGGATTCTCACTTTTTTTAAATCTTCAAATACCATTTTTATTTTTTTTTTTGTAAAAGTAATAATATGAAACCGATAATCGAACTGTAAGAAATTTATTAAAACCATTTTCCATTTAATTGTAAAATAATGATAATTGATTTTTTTACAATAAACTTGATATTTACAATTGTTTATAAAAATAAATTAAATTTTAATCTATACATTTTTATGGAAAAATCATTATTTTACGAAAAGATGAGATTTTATACTTAATAAATCATATAGTATACGACGCTATTTGTATTTATTTAATAATATTAATTCGATTTTTAATTTTAATTAAAAAAGAAAAAAAAAGTAGAGATAGAACTTAACCTACATGATTGAAGCAGAATTGCCTACATAAAACGCCGACTAGTTTAGTCAAGAACATTTTTTATTTTATATTATCATTTATTAAACAATTTACAATATTTAATTAATAAAAAGAATTTACATAATTTTGAATGTTATATTTTTAATATAGTTACGGCTTTATAATTTTTTTATTTTGGTTTATAAGACTGACTAGCTATAATGTGAACCCAATATTCAAATGACAATCCTCAAAGTAGGTAAATAACAAAAATAGAATCATAAATAAACTGTAAATAAATAACTAAATATATACAAAAGATTAAATAAATAATTAGTAGATTAATATTTTGTAATATATTACTTAATGCAATTTTGTCAACAATATGTATTGAAATGTAAACAAGTGTTTGGAGGGCGAATTGCGTTTAAAAGTTTGCATATAAATTACATGGAAATCTTGTGAAGGAGTTCAATAATTCTACAAGTATCTAAATAATAAATACATAATTAAAATTTCAACGAATTTTATATTTAAATTATTTTATTCTAGATATGTGTATTATATAATTTTGAACCTTACTTGCCTCCGTTTTCATTATTAATCTTTAATAATCTTAGGAAACATATTGCAAACTCTAAACAGTAATTGTTTTACATATATAAAAATAAACTATTATATCCAACAACATTAATACATGTCTTTTGTCACTAACATTGTTGTTAATGTTTGTGTTATGAAAAAATACCGTTGGAAGCTACCAAATTTGTATTTGGAATGTTTTCGAAAGCGATTGACAGAGTCTACATAGTCATCGATGACTCGTGCTGGTATGCATTGTTCTGTTTATCAATATGTGACTCGTTTCGACAGTTATATCGTCTTTGGATAGTCTAAAAAGAGTTACTTTTTTCACTTCTAAGCAATCATGTCAAATAATGACACTACGCCTCCAGGAAATAATAAATTGTTTCGGAAGTAAAACCCATAGAAAATTACCATTTCACAAATATTTCCACGCACGCACCGTCTTAATACTACAAACACCTATTTTTCGGTTGTACCCTAGACCAGTGCGTAACCGTCAAAAGACTTGCTTGAATATTAAAAATAACAACAATTCTAACATAATTAATGTACACATATATTAAATTGCATGAATACAAAAAAAAAAAAAAACAAAAAAAATACAGATTACAGTAAAAATTCAAAAGGTATGCATATTAGTAAATCCTGTTGTTTATATATTATATAAATATATTTATTTACAACACACGTTTTGGTGGCTTTTACCACTGATTTAAACATTCTTTAATATAATCAAATATTTTGATAGCTTTTTGAGTTTATAGCACAATACATTAAATTTCTTATAAATATTTCACAGAAAATAGCAAACAAACATAGTATGTTATCAATTTTTACAATAGTTCTAAAAATAAATATTTTTATAGATATGAAAGACAAAAAATACACAAAGTTAATTAGAATAATAATTAAATTTGTAAACTTAAAAGAAATAAAAATATTTTTCTAATTATTTAGAAGAGTTATATTGTATAATTAATACAAATTATAGAATTATATCACTTTTAAATTAACGTAAAAATTGTGAACGTTTCACATGAAAATAGTAGTAGCAAGTAAGTGCGTCAAACTTCATTAGTTATTTTTATTTTTTTGGCTATATTACGTTCAACGCTAGTTTATATACATTGACTATAGATGATTTACATTAGTGTAGATGCACACTGTGACAACAAATTAATACAGCTTTTTAATAAAAATGATCACTAATATTTTTAATGAATTGTCCAACGAATTTTTTACCACTGGCATATAAACAGATTGTTTAATAAGTATGGAAAAGGGTTTGTCCATAACGATTGACTTGAACTCTTACTTATTGAACATCCTATAAATTATTTACATTCACAAATATGTAAAGAAAAAAAAAGACTCTTTGTTCGTGTGACAGCTTAATAAAATATATTTTGAACAACCGAAGAAACCCAATTACAAGTGAAAATTGTATTTTAATCAGAATAAATTATTTTTTTTAATTAAAATATTCAAATTCATATCTCACAGGTATTATTTGAATAAAAAAGTAATGCGGGCAAACGTTACAAGAAATCTTTTAAAATTTATTTTTGTTCAAATGAAATATTTATGATAATAACAACATTTATACAAAGAGATAAAATTAGGTAAAAATTTTAAAGAGAAACTTAGAAACTATGTCGCAATAACCATAGTAGTTTTATGATTGAGACAATCTTATAGATATTATTTTGCTTAATTATAGGTACAATCTATACTTAGCGTAGACACTTAGGTATAAACGTCAACAAATTTAGACCTTCTTATTACGGTCGGAATACAAGTCTTTTTTTTATTTCCTCGGATTTTCAAATGGTCGTTAAAGAAACCCTCAACGATTTCGACTCGTTGTGATAGTTCATATTAAAATTTTAATTACATAAACAATAATTCCCGAACTATAGATATAATTATTCTATTACAAATACAACGAGTCAATTTTATACATAAAAATAATTTAAGCGCTTGTTTTACAACTTAATTACGCCTAAGTCGAATACCAAGGAGTCTGTACGAATGTGAATGTGTTTAATTGAATATGTGTTAGACTGTTGTTTTTACTTTTTTACAAATGAACTGCTGCGGTTCATGTAATGAAAATGTAATGTGAACAATAATAAAACAAACGATATGGATGAAATAGTGGAGGCTGTGGATTTGCTTTCCCATAATACTCGGTCCGAGTTTTGAGCAGCATCCGGCGTACCGTCCACCACGGCCTGTTCCTTTCCTGGACACGTATTTTCGTCCATGTCAATTACGCTTACCACCGGTGTCTCTTCCAATCTCGATCGATCGTAGTGGTCTTTACCAGTGTGCACGTTGAAGGTGTCTTTGTGATCGTCATAGCCATCATCCAGTTTATTGTTTTCTTCGCGATAGTTATCCAGGCTGTCGGTCAATCCACCGTCGCTTTTCGCTTTTCGCCCTACACTGGAAGTGGGCCCATCAGTGTCGTTTATCCAACACTTGGTGTCTGTCAGCTCACGGTTCAGTTGCTCGTTGTTCGTGTCTGCAGCCACACGTTTCATCCACAACAGACTGCAATCGCACTCCAACACATTTCCTAAAATCAAACAAATTTTAGTTATTGAAGTAAAAAAAAATGTGTTGCCGATGATACTTTCGTATCTACATAATCTCTTACATAAAACAATGATAGCTCTACATCAATAATATTAAAACGAAGACATGCTTTTAATGCATAGTTAAAAAAAAAATTCTTAATAATCAATAAAATTGTTATTTTTAAATAGTTTTTTAATTTTATTTTTCTAAGTTGAATATTATATACAGTAAGACTTATGAAACACACTGTCGCTTAAGACGCTGTTTCCGTCGATTCTCAGACTTTTATTGAGTATCGTGTATACATTTACTAAGTATCAAAATAAGTGTCGTTATTATGACACTTATTTTCACGTTACACAAATGGCATTAACAATAAATTTAAGAAATTGCATGTTATATAGTTATTTTGTTAAAAATATTCAAGTAGAACTAATTTTTTTAATTAAAACGGTGCATTTTTTCGATTTGTGAATAAAATAAATTATATTTTACTTTGAACAACATTTGTAGATATTATATGTGACCAAGTTAGTATACATCTGCAAAAAATAGAAAATCAATACTCGTGCCTAATTTTAAACACTCTGGCGTCTTATAACTGATCATTTTTGTTCTAATTTTATTTTATTACATTAAATTTTAATAATTTAGTGTGGGTTGGATTGTAGAATATCAAAAGTTTAAAACTGTGATAGAACCTAATGAATTAATACACGTATGATGTGTATTTACATATAAGATAGGTTGCATTAAAAATACTAAATAATAATATACGCTTCTTTGAGATATTGATAAAAAAAAAAATCAGGTGGTATTTCACCGAAAATACAATTTAGGGCTTATTATACAGTCTAATTTTTTTAAAACTGTTATGCTTTGAATATAAAGTGTAACGTAATGTCGTTTAGGTTTTGCGTATCTTATTTTTAATAAGTTTTTAAACTGTTATCAACGGTGCTTATTTAATATTACTTTCATACTACTCTATGGCTGTGTATTAAATATAAAATGTGGATTAATAATCATTTTCATTTTGCTACTAATCTAATCGCCAATAGTTTTGTCCTATAGAAAGTTTTTCGATGATCGTCAGAGAAGTTAATGTTGCTTCATTATGAGAAATAAAAATATTGATTGCCAATTGAAACGTTTAATGATGTTATTCTTTTAAAAATATTATTTTAACAGAATGAATTTAATTCGACTGACTGGTCACCGTTTTGAAATTTATTTTTTTCAACTTACAAATAATGAAAAATAATTGACTTTTTATTATTATTTATTTTGAACAAAAACGCCTAATTAAAACTTTTTATAAAAATAATTGTCAATCGTACAAAGTATTAAACTTTCTACTGGTGTAGGACTCATTATATTGCCCATGAGTAATAGTGACCCTACTTCGAATTTTGAATCAAAATTAATAGACAACACTAAATTTCAAGTCACGAAATTCTCATTAATTTAGCGTTATTAGTTTCGGCCGGAGAGTTTTCTGAAAATTTAATTTGTCATTAAATAGTTTGTTAATAAAATAAAAATTTGTTAATTTTAACTATTCTTACTTTTAGGTGTTATGTTATCGATAAATGTCACTGTATGATATGTCAATTTTCTAAATGACACACGTTTGTGTTAAAGTTGTGAGTATTACTTAAGCTCAAAAAACAGCATACACATATCACGGATCGTTAAAAAATATTAATTCAATCAACTTATATATATATTCAATAATTTCATTTTTAATTTTTGTATTTTTTATACAGAGAGTTATTTTAGAGTTATAATTATTTTAGTCATGCTGATTTAAATGGAATTCATCATAGTTAAATATTATTCTTGAAATCTTAATTGAAAATTATATTTAGCTTCACCTCTTCTTAGGAGTAAAATTTAACTTTATTAATTTTTTTTTTATTAAATGATACTTAATTCACCTATAAGAGTATTTATTTACAAATGTTTACATTCTATGGACTGTCTATCTTTCGTATAAGTGATTTATATCTTATCTGTGAATTATTAGACAGCTCGATGTAATTTCTAGATGAAACTATATAAAATTCGAACAATGAAAGTGTTATTTTACCTACGACTTTCTTGAATAAACTGTATACGTTTATTATTATTTCTCAGTAAATACTCTAATGTTTGATGTTTAAAAACACTAAACATTTAGTTTGATGTTCTTATGATGCTGTAAAAATCTGTCTAATAAGAAATATATGAAAATGAACTAAACAAACAAAAACAGGCGATTACGCAGCTTAAGTTGTTAACGTCGAGGATTAAAAAGGAAAATATTCTCACGTACACTTAAATTTAATACTCTTCAAGAATTTATTGTTGAGCGTAAAAGAAGTTATTTTAAGTCTTAGCACTTCAATTATATTATCATTTATATTTCAACAAAAAGAGCGAAGGGAATTAATTAGTAAACTTTCAAGTACTTCTTAATATAATTAAATAATAAATAAAAATAATGATAATAAAAAGAGTCGCTGAAAAAGTTTTTTGTGAAAATGGGTAATATCAACTTATTGAGTTGACAAAAAAATATATTTAAAGACTTCATTCTTTATGATTTTAGGAACCATCGAATTATTAAAAAAAATAATCAGTTAAATTAAATTAAGTTTTCAAAAAAAAAACATAAAATTAATAGAGTTATATTTAGAGACACGATATTGGTTTTGCCAGAGAAGTGAAAATATGTTGATAGAATTTTTCATTTGTTGTACATTTGTTAGCCGTTTTTTATCAGAAAATATGTTAAAAGTGAAAACAATATTTCAATAATATTACACGTTTAGCGTTATAAAATAACTTAACTCTAAATGCAAATTTTCATGTTAACGTTCTCAATAAATCGATTATAAAAATGTTGACTATAAATAAAAAAATAGTGACATTTTTTCAACATTATAAATTTTAATCTATTTTGTTATGTTCGATAGGTTCTTCGTAAGAAAAGCAAATGTATTTTTTTACTCTTACGGAACTGTGGAAAAGTTACAATGCTCATTTTTACAATAACACTTAATAGATTTAGTAATAGTAGTGTTAATAACGTTTCGACAGTTTAAAACTTAATTATGTATGTATATATTATATAATTTTTTTGATGGTTGAGCAGCGATAAGAAATTTGTATTGTTACAACGGTTTAGACAGTCTCTATAAGAGATAGACGAATTTACTTATTTATTAATAACAGTGAAATATTTAATGCCGGAAAATAATATTGTTCGAACGGGCCGCAAAGTAACAAAATATTTATGATCGTTTTACACGTTATCGAGACAGCTTCTTTTTCATCTGTGTAATCTTTGGTCATTCGTAACTTTAGTCACGTATAGCTGACGTTAAAGGTAAAGAAGGTAATAATAATATCGAAGGGAAGCGGAAGGTAATGTTATAATAATAAAAGAAACCAAATTGTACGAACATCATCTATACATGGTGTCTGTTAAGGTTTCCACGCGTTTTACTTCTATTTGGGGTTGGGTTTTTTTGTAGCTTTCCAATTTATTTTCCTATCAACGCTCGAAATAGCTATGAAAATTTTACGATGTTTTCCTCACTGTAGAGAGTGTGTTGAGGTTTGGTCGGGTAAAATATAAAACCTTCCGCACACCACTGCTGTTTAAACAATTACAGCTGCGCTACTAACGGATACTTGGCCATCGGAAATTCCGGGAGCACGTGTTTTTTCGCCAAAAAACAATCTCGGCAAGAGAAATAGTCGTTGAACAATGTATTCGGATTTGTCAAAAAATATATAGTTTACAGGATTTCAGATCATGCACGTAAATAGTAGCACAGATATTTCGCATCCTTAAATATTTAGTTTTAGTTGAAATCAAGACGATTATTAGCAAACAAGACAAATATTTAATTTAATTGTTTCAGTAAAATATCAAGAAAATCATCACTAGATTTCCTTTGAAGTAAAAATCTATTATTTGCTATACAGAAAGTAATTTCTTTCGAAAATCTCCCCTTGTTTTCTACGACTGAAAAACTCAGTTATCTAATTCGATGGAATTCATAATGAAAAAATCGTTAATTGATTTTCATCCTTTGGTAAGAACTCATAAAAACGTTCTACTCCATTGATGAAATAAGTAACATTCCTTCTCAATGAAAACATATTTTATATTGCCGAGTTATGTTTCTTAGTTGCTTTAATAAAATTGTATTTCTGTGAAATAAAAACAGAAAAATAAATAAAATGTTCAGATAAATAACAAAATATTTTATTTACTGTATTTCATTGTATTGTAAATTATTATAATGCAAATCCGTATTTAAGTGGTGGCACAGGGGAAACATTGCTCTCAGTGGCAAAATTTGGAGATGGTCTATAATGTAAAAATTAATAATAATTAAATAATGTAGAAGCTTATTGCTCTCAATAAGTAATGAAGATATTCAGTATAAAAATATTCTTACAGATTAATAAAGTAACATCCAGTAATGAAATGTTCAAAAATTATATGATTTTAATATTTTTATATATGTATTTTATATTTATTAACTGTTTGACATCGTTTTTAAAATATCAGTTAATGATTTTAAATAATTTTTTTTAATTAATTTTGGTCTTCTTTAAATTTCAGGAATAAAAAATAGTTATGTAAATTTACAACATTTTTTTTTATAATGACGAGAATGGTTAGTGCTCATAAACGAAAGTTTTGTGTAAAATTTAGGAGCAGGGTTGAAAACTTTTTTTTATCTTAGACAAATATTCCTCACTTCACTCACAATTAAATTAGGAGAAAAAAAAGATCATAAAATATTTAAAAACCGGATGTGGTATGAAAAGTTCTCTATCTTTTAATGTTAGGTTTTTAGCCACACTAAACTACCACTTATTTCTGCCAATGTTTTGGTAGGGAAATTTTATGCAGTTCTCTGTGGTAAGTTTTGCCTGATTATTGCCGTTTAGTAGTTGTAGCATTCAACCCTTCAGTATACATAACAGTAAAAC